CATTGTTGTATAACTAAATTTGAACTTCATTATTATTTAGTGAGCCAAGAAAATTCAGATTTAAGAGCCGAGAATTAGAAATATTTAATTTTTTCTAGTTTTCTTAATCGACTCTTATCTTCTTCGTTGTAACTAGAATTAAAAAAAAATACAGATGAAACGAGTTTGTTGTGCTCTACAAAATTATATCCATTTCCAATATTTTTTGAGAAAAACAATTTCATACCTATCATTACCAGCTTCATACCATATGGTATCTCCTTCGTTTTTAAGTCATGGTAAAATTTTTGCATAGAAGGAACGAGTTCATCATGATTTATTAGATCTATAAATTTATGGGTGAAAAAATAGAGGACCAAAAAATACCACACAATACCACCCTGGTATGGGGGTGTTATCTTGTGGTAGGGGTGGGCATTCGGTCGGTTCGGTTTTGATCGAACCAAAATTATGAATATCGGGTCTCCGAATTCTCCCAAACTTCAAACCGAATTCGAACCGAATTATAATTCGGTTCGGTTTTTCGCACAAAACCGAATTTGTGAAGCTACTTGTATTTTCTCACTTTTAAATTATTTTTCACCCCTAATATAAACAATAAATATCAATTATATGCATCATCAATGATAAAACCAAACTTTTCAACACATAAGTCACAAAACATTTCAAATATTTAAGTCTAAAAACAACTACAAACGTAAAAATCCACCATTTGGAGCTTGCAATTATAGTATTTCGGTTTTTTCATCGGAAATTTGGTTCGGTTGAAAGAACCCTAATTTCCGAACTATCCATATTTTCCTTCCGAATTTCGAACCGAATAGCATTAATTCGGTTTCGGTTTCGGTTCGGGTTTACCGAACCGTTTGCCCACCCCTACCTTGTGGTACACAATGTTGAAAGTCGTAAATGACAATTAGTTTTTAGTATCGTTCTACTATCATGTATTCAACTATCCTACAGTCTTGGTATGTTCATACTAATGTGGTACGCTGTCTATACCATATGGTATGCTTTCATTTTAGGGTTAATACCTTATTTTGGCCCGAACTATAACCATATTATCAATTTTGGCATGTGATTTCAGAAATTAACATCCTCAAATATGCAGCATATAGACTCAATTGGCCCGACACATGGTTTGACCGTCAATTTGGACGGTCAACACAGTTGATCGTTACACAACACGCCATGTCATTCCTTGTCAGCTTAAAAATCATTAAAAAATTCAAATTCAAATTATTTTCCTAATTTCTATTATTATTCAAATTATAAAAAAAATTAAAAAATAAACATTTAAAATTATTTGATAATTTTTGGTTAATTTATAAAATTTATGATTTTCAAAATTTGCCAAAAATAAAAAATGAGTTTTATTTTATATATTTTATAATTTTATTTTTTGGTTAATTTGATAATGAAAAATAATAGAAATTAGGAAAATAATTTAAATTTAAATTTTATTAATGATTTTTGGGCTGACGAGACAATGACATGGTGTGTTGACTAACGGTCAACGGTGTTAATTTTTTTTAATTTCGACTTAAAACGAAAGAGAAATCGTCTGTTAAATAATAAAGACTTTTAATGAAAGAGAGAGGACTGTTGATGTGGCGGATTCTTTTTATGGTTACTCACCATAGAGTTTTTTTTTTTTTTACAGAGTAGTAGTTTCATTAATGGATAATAAAACCATACACTGAGAACAAAGCATGAGTTCGTGAAACACAAATGGAAGGAAAGTTCAAGAGTCGGAAAACACATGTGTAGAAACGAGAGACCAGCAGCAAGCCCAAATGCAAAGCCTGAAAAGGAAACCAAAAGCCCACACTCGAAAATAGCCCAAAAATAGAACAAACAGCACGAGGTCGGCGCCCACATCCCCACCCAACAACCATTCTCCGCTCCCTTCTTGCCGTCGGAGCTAACCTTTTGCCGGGAAACGAAAAAGGAGAGATAATCAAACCCAGCCACAAGATCAACATCACATGCATGGACTGATGAAGAAGAAACAAACAAAAAGGAAGGGCTCCTCCAACAGAAATCCACAACAGAGAAGGAAAACATGGGAGGATCGACGGTAGAGTCACTCACACACCCACCAGAAAGCAACTCCTTGGAACCCGAACAAACAGAGCAGCAAGGCTCGAAGAAGAGCAACCACAAAACACATCCAAAACATTAGAATATGAGCAACCCCATACACAAGCAGAAAGGTGTCAAAGGCAATCAACTGAAGCCCCCACCAAACTGAGCAAGTGACGAAAAACTCTTCAGCAAGAATGTCATCCCTGCTCTCAACCCCATGAATACGTATGTTTGTCAAATCAAGTCGTTACATCTCCGATTCACCCCCATTTATGGGTGAAATGTGTGGAGGTAGATACTAGAAACATGAAAGGAGAAAACAAACCGCCAATGATGGCTCCCTCTGGCAACCACCAACAAGGACCGAACCATGCGAGAACGACTTCAAGATCTGTAAACAGATCTGAAGTGTGGAAAATGAACTATCTCCAAGGAGAAGATCATGAGAAAATCCACAAGGGAAAGAAGTATAATAGAAATGTGAAACCCATAAAAAGTTGGCAAATGAAAAGCGGAATGTAAAGGGAGAAAATTTTGGGTTGTCGCCGGTCACTCAGAGGTCAAGCCGGCGGCTCCCCCTGGAGAGTGGAAAGTAGAATCAAGAGAGAAGGAAGAGGAAAATTCAAACAAGGGAGAGTTGTATATTTTCCTTGACTCACCATATAGTTACTGATGGGATCCGCTCCCCTCCCTAGCTACTAGCACATATTGCGTTTGTTGGCCCATGTATATAGATAGAGAGAGTTGGTTCGCCCAACAAGGGGGAGAGAGAAGGTAATTCAATGGCGGATCCAGGGCCACGCATGTATAGCAAAAGTCTATGATGTGTTTTCATATTCTGAAAAAGTTGTAAAATACACTCAGTGTCTACACGGCTCAACAAATCTCTCTATCTTACTATACAATCATTCACAAACTGATCGCTTATTCAATTTCGAAACTTGCTCTTAAAGTATCCCAAAGCCGAAATGTTATTTCAACACTTGCAGTTGAAATCAGTAAAATCAATAATTTTGAGAAGCAAGTAAATAAACGGATATGATCGAATGTAGGGAATTAGGATAGCACGTAATTGGGTTTAATTGTTAGATTTTGAAAACAATTGGGAAAATGAATAGCATTTTTTACTATTAGACTTGTATTTAAAATACAATAACAAATGTGTTGTGGTCTAATGGATAACATGTTGGCTAATACTATTAGTGTCCTAATTTAATTCACCTAGTATACCATTTATACATATATTTTTTACCCATACGCAAACTATTGCCGAGATTGGATAATCGTTTTTCCCAAAATTGGACACCCCCAATTACCCCTAGCTCCGACACTCCGCCCTTGGGCCATTGCCCAACCCTCCTCTTGATCCAAATCTAGTATAGTAATTGTAAAAATTCAATTTTAAATATTCATTTTAGTGCTCGTACCCAACCTTCTTTGCCTCTATTCAAATGTGGTGCAATAATCTACCCATTCTGAATCCGCATATAGAGAGAGGATGGGTGACTAAGGGGGGATGCTTAGTCACTTGACTAAGCCCCTCCCAACCCTTAGATCTGGATATAGCAATCTGATGGTTAAAAAGTGGGAAGGGATCTTTAATTAATGACAGGGGTAGTTTGAGTATCATGGAAAATTACGAAGTATACAAACCAGACTTACAATCAGTACAAACCATACAAACATACGAACAATACAAACTAGAGCGACAAAACATACAAACAGATTTACAAACATTACAAATATATAAACTGCACAAAAAATACAAACTAGACCGACAAACAATACAAACCATACAAAAAGAAAAAACAACCAGGTTGACTTTGGAGGCTCCATCCCTATATAGAGGGTCTCCTTCCCAAAGTCAACCCGGGTGTTTTTTAGACATACAAACATGGTGGCCAAAAATGACAAACTAGACCAAAAATTCATACAAACTGGAAAAACACCTGGGTTGACTTTGGAGGCTTCATCCCTATATAGAGGGCTTTGTCTCAAAGTCAACCCGGTTGTTTTTTAGACATACAAACATTACGAACATGGTGGACAAAAATGACAAACTAGACCGACAATCCATACGAACTGGAAAAAACACCAGGGTTGACTTTGGAGGCTCCATCCCTATAGAGAGGAGTTCCATCTAGGGATGGCAACTTTGCCCATACCCATGGGTTTCTTACTATCCAACCCAATTGGGTTGGGTATGAAATCCAAATAGATGGATATGGGTAGAGTTTGATGGGTTTGTACCCATACCCATTTACTTTGGGTTGAGTTGGGTTTATATCAAATGGATTTGGGTTTGTACCCATGCCCAAATACAAATTACAGTTTGGTACCCAAACTTAATAGATATGCATATTTAGTACATAAAATTAATTTTTTTGCATATAAGTCCTCAAAATATCGATGGAAAATTACGTTTTGGTACCTAAATTTTTTTGGTCTTACATTTTGGTACCTAAAATTTTCAAGTTTTACAAATACGTCCAATATTTGCATGTGAAGTTAAAACACCCTCAAGTAAATGGATATCCATATCCAACCCATACCCATTTAGATTATGGAAGTAATATTCATACCTTACCCAAACTCATCTATAAGCCCCCAAATACATATGCACTTCATCTAGGGCTGGCGGACGGTTTTCCGGTTAGCGGCTAACCGGCCGGTTTCAACCGAACCGACCGGTTTTCGGCTAGCCAAAAAACCGATGCCGAAGAGGGCGGTCGGTTGGCGGTGGGAATTATCAGGGGGCCGGCTAGCCGACTAACCGGGGTCGGAAACCGGCGGTTAACCGGCTAACCGACCCCTGCCCTTCCCCCTTAAACGACGCCGCCCACGCCCCCAAATCAGTCGACAACCTCCGCCCCCAAATCGAGTCACAGCCTCCTCCCCCAAATCCCCCTTCTCACCACCGACCAACCCTTCCCCCTTCTCACCATCGACCAACCCTCCAATCCTTCCCTTACCTCCGCTGCCATCTCCACATCGTCGCCGCCTCCATCAAAACCTCCTCCAACGGAGCATGGCAAGGCGACAATCCCCTCGATTTCGCCTTCCCGCTCCTCATCCTCCAGACCATCTTGATCCTCGCCGTCAGCCGCTCCCTCGCCTTCCTCCTCAAGCCCCTCTGCCAGCCTAAGGTCATCGCCGAGATCGTCGGCGGGATCCTCCTCGGGCCGTCGGCGTTCGGCCGGAACCACCACTACATGCACCGGGTCTTCCCCAAGTGGAGCGCCCCGATCCTCGAGTCCGCCGCCAGCATCGGCCTCCTCTTCTTCCTCTTCCTCGTCGGCCTCGAGCTCGAGCTCTCCTCCATCCGCCGCGGCAGCCGCGCCTTCGGCATCGCCGCCGCCGGGATCACCCCCCCCCCCCCCTTCGCCGGCATCGCCGATCCTCGAGTCCAGCCCTTCCCCCTTCTCGCCGCGCCTCGCCGCCCGTCGCCGCGACCCCTCCAGGCTCCAGATCTGTTTCCATGGAGAAAGGTGAGAGAAGAAGAAGGAGGCCGATGCTGGCGGATGGATAAGGAAGGAGAGAGGAAGGATAAGGAAGGTGTGGTGGATATTTTTTTTGTTTTCTTTAGTTAATTTTTAGTTTTTTTTTTCTTGACGATGCTGGCGGATGGATAATGAAGGAGAGAGGAAGAGATAAGGAAGGTGTGGTGGATATTTTTTTTTGTTTTATTTAATTAATTTTTAGTTTTTTTTCTTCTTGAAAATGTATTTTCCGGTTGGCCGGCTAATCGAGCCTAAAACCGGATTCGACCGGTCGGTTGGCCGGCTAACCGTGACCTCTCTTCGGTCGGTGGTCGGCATCTACAAGAGGTGGCTCGGTTTAACCGATAACCAGGTTTTCGGTTTTCGGTTAAACCGAAACCGACCGACTGCCACCCCTAACTTCATCCATAGGCAACCCATTTTCAATGGGTCTACTTGGATTTGGGTATAATTACCAATGGGTGGGTAATTTCTAATTTGCCATCCCTAGTTCCATCCAAAAGTCAACCAAGTTGTTTTTTAGACATAAAAAACATTACAAACATGGTGCACAAAAATAACAAAGTTTACAAACATTACAAAAAAAAAAAAGTGACAAACATTACAAAATAACAAAGCGTACAAACATTACAAAATAAACCGACAAACAGTACAAAGCATACTAACCGTACAAAATATCACTAAAAATGACAAACAATACAAACCGAATATATACAAACATTGCAAAATAGGTAAGCAAACATCACAAATCCAACACTGTCGCCGGGAAATTTCCTCTGGTCACCAAAAAACTCTCTCTCCGCGCGCCAACAAATAATTCCCATCCAAATAATTCCCATCAGCTCTCTCTCTGGGGAATTCCCCTGGAATAATGGCGCATGAGGGGAGAAGAATTCTCCTGCCCAGGAATTCCCCTGGCCGGAAATTGGACGGAGACGGTCTCTCTCTCTCTCTCTCTCACAAGAGCTTTGGAGGGAAAATGGAATTAATGGCCACCCCTCCCCCTAGGAACATGCCCACGCCGGATGCCGCCGAAGAATTTTTCCCACATCGTCGGCGTCAGAGAAAAGGACCGCCGGCGGGACTGGGAAAAAGGCCATGTCGTCGGGCCGGAGAAGGGAGCTGATGCCCGCGACGGTTGTTAGTGGCAGGCTGTATTTTTTTATTTTAATTGGTAAATAAAATAAAATAATCTTACAATTATTATATTATCATTCATTAAATTAAATTAATTTGAGTCATTAAATTTTAATAAAGTATAGGTGCTGAGATTCACTTAGTCATGTGACTAAGTGACCTAGTCACCTTATATTGGCTCATATATATAGAGAGAGGTTGATTGTATGTTATGTGTCACGTGGTCCATTGTTTGGCTTGTCGGCCCATTTATTCTAAACCGATGGACGGAAGGTCAAGCAAAAAGTGGTGACCAGAAAAAAGGCCCATGTTATTTACATGTTGTTTTCTTTTCTGGTCTAGGTGGTGGTCCGTCCTTTATTACCGCCGGTCCCGGATTATTTACCGTCGTGTGGTATATTAATATTACTGTTTGAGGGGATTATATAATTAAGGCTTAATACCCCATTTTGGCCCGAAGTTTGACGGTAGTGACGATTGTGGCCCGAATTTTTTAATAAGACAATCATGACCAACTTTACAAATTAATGGACACATTTGGTCCAAAATTTTCTTTGACCGTTAATATTGACAGTCAAACCATCTATCCGTCAGTGACTCAGCATCTAGTGCTGAAGTGGCGTCCACATCAGCTAAAATTATTTTCTCAATTTTATATTTATTTCCCAAAATTCCATAAAATAAAAAATATGGAAAGCCAAAAAATATGAAATTAAATGGGCCCACATAAACTCTCTCCCCAATTTTCATTCCCAAAGCCCACCCATCCCTGCGACCACCTCCCACCCGGCGCTGTTCATCTTCTTCCTTTCTACGCGGCCGTTCGTCTTCTTCCTTTCTACGACGGCAACACTGCTTCTCCTCCGGCTTTCGCCGCCGCCACGCCAATTCAAAAATTGGAAACCCAATGCTGATTCAAGGGAGACCGAACTCACCAGTTCTAGTTCTGCTCTAGCTGTTGATGAATCGAAAATCAAAGGCTGATTGTCTGGCAAGGGCGACGAGGGACACAAGGCGGCGAGGCGAGGGCTGGCGGAGATGGCCGGCGGCGAGGCGAGGGATGGCGTAGATGACGGGCGGTGAGGTTGGCGAAGAAGACAGGTGGCGGAGGCAGTACGGAAGGCAGGCGGCCGACGAAAGAATCGCTGGACTCGCTCGGTTGGGAATGGATGGGTAAGGAGAGTTCGATGGAGGCGTGAACGATGGGGAAGGGGAGGAGTCGAGGAGACAATGGTCCTCGTGAACCCCCTCGTGACCCCTCCCTTCTATCTTTTTATTTTTATTTTTTATTTGAATTCAAATTTTCTTTAATTTAAGAAAAAATGTGACATGGATGAGCTGTGCTGACTCACTAACGGAAAAAATAGTTAACTGTCAGTTTTGACGGTCAATTCAAATAGCAGGCCAAATTTGTCTATTAATTTGAAAAATTGGCCATAAATGTCTTATTGAAAACTTCGGGCCAAAACTGACACTTACGCCAAATTTCGGGCCAAACTAGGGTATTAAGCCTATAATTAATCGAATGGTGAGGTGGCGGTAAAGGACACCGCCCAAATTAACTAATCGTCAACCCATATATATATAGAGGAGCATATATGTGGAAACTGCCACGTCAGCCAGTGCAAAACATTGAGGGATTTACGGAGGGGTGTTTTTGTCAAACAGTTCAGAGACAAAAAAGTGAAAATGGGCTAACAAAAATTGTTCCTGCTAGCGCCCAAAGATAGACTCATAGCTATATATTAATAAAAATTTGGGCGTGTCAATTTGGGCCGATTGAGTTCACACTGAAACAAAAATGCAACCGAAATAAAGTCATTCGTTGCTTCTCTCTAACCTCCCTTTCTCCTAAACAATTCTCCCCAATTTCTGGACACGGTTTCTCCGCAGAAGAGGCCCAGCTTCCAATCTCCCGTAGCGATACGATCCCAATCGCCGCAGGCCATTCCAATCCTCCGGCAGACCGTCTTAGTACAAACTCATCCATGGAGTCCAACAAATTTCCCCCCAATTTTTGAATGTGATTATCGCATACCAGAGTCCCGCTTCGCTTCCCCAACGGTGCGAATCAAAGTGCATATATGAAGTTTGCCACATCAGCTGTTCCAAAGCAATACGTAATTTTCGAAAGGGTATTAGTGTCAATGAACACATATGAAGTTTGAATTATTCCCTACTGCTCAATCAATTTGCCATTAAACTTTGATATAGTCTTTCATTAGTTATAATTTTCCCGAATTTTGAAAATTTCAAAGTGAACATGAGTATAAGAAATCATTAATTTATAAACTTAATTCTTAAAATAAGTCTTAAATGTTCTATAAAATGAGACAACTTTACAATAATAAAGGACTGAGTGCTTTAGAAGTATTTAGTACGCAAACGGGCTCTAACTGGGTGCTAAATAGAATTTGGCTAAGAATGTTTATCAAGATTCAAGTGCGCCAAATGAATAGCTGGATGGTCCTATGTTAACGTTTTTATGTGTTAAATATGTGACAATCGTCGCTTACATGTGTTGGCAATGCCTTAAATTGATAAAAATAAAATAGATAACAAAACAACATACTCATACTGGCTTATAGTTCAGGCAAATTATGTTAATCGTTTAAGGAATTGAGAGATGATTTATTAGTAGAGGTGAATCTAATATTTTTAAATCCAATCCATTTTATCCAAATCCAATTAGATTGGTGGATTCATGGATTAATACATGGATCCAAATGAAAAATTAGGGTTCAGTACCTGTACTTATATATTTTTATATTTTGGTACCTGAATTTTATTTTTATAAGAAAAATGTCATTGAAAAATTACATTTTGGTAATTAAAAATTTTCAATATGATTTTTTAGTACCTAACCTTTTCAAAATTTACATATTGTTCCAAGGCTTACATGTCATTTGGATTCATGGATCAATCCACCAATCCATAAAATGTACACAAACTTACTACTTTGCCCCATCGTTCATGAAATTTTCATTCTAGCCTAAACTATGCACCAAGTTTGACATATTTTATTTACGTTACGTTGTTGGAATTTTAGTGAGTTATTGTAATCTTGCTTACATTTAAGGATTTAGGTTTTGATTGTCTTAATTTCATAGTCTTGCTTTACCCTCCCTATAATTCTTCACTACTAATTCAAATGAAATATTTATCGAACAATACAATTAAGGTTTGATTTTTAACGCTTTTTAAATAATCCAAGTTTGACATGGAAGATCAAATTGAGGTTGAATCGAATAATCAAACCCGACCAACGGGTCGGGGAAAATGCTAGTAATGGTAATAAGAAATTTCATTTGAATTAATCAGTGAGACCAAAGGGCGAGAAATGGTAAAGAAATCCAAAGAAAGAAACAGGAAGGAAAAACGGGAATTGAAGTAACTAGGGAAGCTCATTCCTTAACCTCAGTCCCAGGAATTAAGGGTTGGGATAAATTTTAGAAAAGGAAAAAAAGGTAAACCAAAACAAATTCCAGCCAGCAAGGCAAGGCAGTCAGCGCGCTCGCAAGACGCGGAATAGATAGAGAGAGAAGAAAGACGGTTTGGTTTTGGTTTTGGAGGCGTAAGCCAGACAAGTGCAGTGCAGTCGCCAAATACGAGTTTTCTTCTCCTTGCTTCTTATTATTCTTGTTGTTCTTCCGCCGTCCTCGTCTTCTCTGGGCTAAGATCAGGTGACTAAGGGGGGTCCCCTTAGTCACATGGCTAAGTGAATCTCAACCACTCAACCTCATTAAAATCTAAGGGCTCCTATTAATCCAATTTAATGAAGGGCATTGTAGTAATTGCATGTTTAATTTTTTCTTTTAATTATAAAATAAAAAAAAACAGGCGTCCGCGTCGGCCCGTCCCTTGCGCCGCTTCGTCTCCGTCCAATTTCCGGGACGGCCGCTTCGTCTCCGTCCAATTTCCTGGGCAAGAAATTGCTCCCATCATCCGCCATT